CTGCTGTCGCTAGCAGGCGCTGACCCAGGGACTTCGGATAATTTGGTGGGACTCTGTAGATCACTCGGAAAGCTTCGTTGGGGTCCACCCAATGTCCGGAATCGACCATGTCTCATATTTCTCAAAAATATTTGCATTGGACATGGATAGTGTTGCAGTATTTATAAAATGCATTAAAAAATGGGAAGATATAATGCCTTGGGCATAGAAAGTTAACAGCCTCAACAATTTTCGTAATCAGAAAAGTTTTAAAATCGGAATTAACCCGCCCTTCAAACATTAACTTATTCAAAGATCTTATTTGCTACCAGATGAGTGTAGGAGCAAATATATTCGCACATTTTTTCTGTGAAATGGATTTGAAGACAAAGGTATATCTAAAGTCATTAAGAAGAATGCATACTACCTAAATAGTCTTTTTTACAGCGTGCGGTTTTGAAGGTGGATGAAAGGTCTTTCAAAATTCCACATACTGACGTGAATCTAATAGCTTCCGACTAGACTACATGATAATAAATATAACAACTACAGTGTTCGAGTTTTTTTCTAATCAAAATCATACTCCATATTTCGGATGCAATTTGATCGGATGGGCAAGCTATTATACCTGGTCGCAGTATGCAATGCGCGCCTATATTTCAAATAGCTAAAAGAACGAGTTGAATGATGGCGTTCCTAGCAGAGTCCACCGTCGGCAACCGTATTTTGAGCACGATTTATTTTTACGGAGCTGTGACGGCAGATTGCATTCGTGGAGGGGTGTTTTGGAACAAAATCATTCTGGAAGTGACACGTCCAACAATTCGATAAGTAGCCACTTTAAACAAGTAGGGAATTGTCTCATAGACTGATGTAGTGTAGTCCGAAATGCTAGAAAACGGAAGCCGAAACACATCACAGGGTAGCTGCGGAGAGGACCTGCAACATGAAGGAGATCATGTCACAGTGCATGCTTTGGGGGTAATGCGGTGTCACCTCCTCGAACCCAATGTGCGGTAGCTCAAAATTATAATCGATTCTTAGATTAAAATGAGTATTTCCAAGAGTAAGTCCTATTAAGCTGGATGGCGCAGTCAAAACACTAGAAATCGCAAATTATCGACATCCACCCAGAGTGAGCAGGTGTTGCGTGACGTCATCACACATTTAGAGACAGAGAGCATCGGTTGGCTCCTTTTGCCGATTGTATGAAAAAGCCTTTTTTATTACTTTCACACGTGACGTAATAGGAAG